GTATAGTTGGAGTTAGGCGTACTACACTTTTTCAGTCCTTGCTTCTTTCACCTTACTATTTTATAGGAATCGTTGGCAAGACAGTGTTACTCCAGAGCCAATATCTCGAAATCTTGATTCACCAAGTTTACTCTCTAACAGTCTGTCACTAGCACCACCTCCACGTTCGCAAGAGCAGCCGCGACCTAGTGGCTCAAACGAGTAAGCTTGTGTTCCAGATATAATTTGTTATATTTGGGTTCTGAATTTTCCCCTTTTTACACGCAAATCAATAGCCTCGTAAATTCTGCGTTTGTATTGTATGTTCCATACAGGCTGAGTAATGGAAGCTCCTCCAACAACAATGGAATTGGCCAAACGTCTTTACAAGAAAGAAATGGAAGTCGCAGCCCTAGAAAAGAAGAGGGAGCAACGCATAATGGGCAGGAATCTGGGGAGGTGGTAGAGAACTCTGAAGTGAATTTTTAACCCTTTGATAAAATTTTGTCGCCCGTTTTGTAATTACTGGGAAAGTTCTCTGACTCTTGGCTTTTAACATTTTTTCTGTTCATCTTTTATTTTACAGGAACCAATGATAGTAGAAGAAACAAATGCGATGATTGGCAGTGAAGGTGGTGTACTTAATTGTCCTGCTTCGGGAGTTGAACTACGAATACCAAAAGGAGCAATTCCAGCGGGGGAAAAACACGAAATTTACGTGAAGGCGAGTTTCGTAATTTGTTTATTGACGTTACTCACACAGTTAATTATGGTCTGCTCTCTGCATCTTTCCTTCTTGACTTTGTATTAGATGACACCTAGTAAGGTCTTCATCATACTTGATTTACATACTCCTCATAAGGTCTTTCTTTGAGAGTTTGACTTCCTGCTACTTGTTTCTGTAGATTCGCTGTTGTGAAGACTACGAAATTAAACACATATATTCTTAAACTTGCGTGTAAATATTTATGGGCTCTCTTTGATCTCCTGAATCTCGATGTTTTAGGTCTGTCGAGACGGCGA